CGGAGCGATTGTTTAAGCCCATACAGTGACTTTCTGAGCTTGCATACCTTTCCCTTTGTGTGATCATCCTCGAACCCGGGAGGGATATCCATATACACTTCTTCTACTAGATCTCCATTCAGGAATGCGTTTTTCACATCTAATTGGAGCAGTGGCCAATCTTGGTTTACGGCAATAGATAGTAGAACACGTACCGTATTGAATTTGGCTACAGGTGCAAATGTCTCCTGATAGTCAATTCCGTATGACTGTGTGAATCCTTTTGCCACTAATCGTGCCTTGAATCTGTCTATTCTTCCGTCTGCCTTTTGTTTGACTGAAAAAATCCATTTGCATCCAACCGTATGCTTTCCCGGCGGTAAAGGTGTTAGACTCCATGTTCCATTCTTTTCAAGTGCACTGTACTCTTCCAAGGTTGCCGCTCGCCATTCCGGGACTTGTAGGGCTTCTTGAACTGTTGTTGGGATCTGAATTTTGTCGAGAGCTGTCACAAATGCCCTGAACTTTTGGGACAGGTTTGCATAGGTCAGGTGATTACAGATGGGATGCTTAGTGCATGACCGGACTCCTTTTCTCTGAGCAATGGGCAGCTCTAAGTCTGAGTGTTGTTCCGCGGGCTTCTCTGTATATTCACCGTCAATTTGCATACTAAGATCCACTTTACCTTGTGTTGTCTCAGAATTTCTTGAACTCGGGATTGGGTCATGATGTTGCTGACCTTGTTCAGGCAAGTGCTTTCTTCGGATAAATACTTTTATGGCATCATTAGGAAGAGTGAGATGATTGGGATATGGAATTGAATTGGCTGAAGATGGACTTGGTGGAGGAGACATGTTTGGCCGAGGAGGAGGTGGACTTGGCCGAGAGCTTTCTGGACTTGATGAGGATATGTTCGGATCAGGTAGGCCAGAGAGAGTAGGAGAAAGTGAGCCATAGTCAATGAGGGAAGTCCAGTCCCAATTTTGTGGTTCATGTGTGCTAATCTCCCCCTGAAGCTCGAAATTGGAGAAGTAAGGTTTGTTTTCAAAGAAGGTGATGTCCATCGTATGATAGAATTTGTTTGTGGTAGGTGAAAAACATTTGTATCCCTTTTTGTTTGATGAATACCCCATGAAGATGCACTTGAGTGCTCTTTCATCAAGTTTACTACGATTATGAGAATGAATATGAATGAATGCAGTGCATCCGAAAATTTTGAGGGGAACTTGTGTGATCAAATGTGATTTTGGGTAGCACTTTAGGAGAGTTTCCAATGGGGTTTTGAATGTGAGTATACGTGAGGGCATCCTATTTATGAGATAGGTGGCAGTGAGGACTGCTTCACCCCAGAATTTTTTGGGAACATTGGATTGAAATAGTAGGGATCGGGCCACCTCTAGGATATGTCGATTTTTGCGTTCAGCCACCCCATTTTGTTGTGGGGTATCTACGCAGAAACTTTGATGAACAATGCCATAGGATGTGAGGTAGGGACCAAGGATGGAATTGAAGAAATCCCGGGCATTATCTGTTTTGAAGATTTGGATGTTTGTTTGAAATTGTGTTTGGATCATCTTATGGAAGTTTTTGAATATTTGGCTGGTTTCTGACTTGTCTTTCATGAGGAATGTCCAACTTATACGGGTATGATCATCTATTAATAGTAGAAACCATCTTGCTCCGGTGATATTTGGAATTTTGTTTGGCCCCCAAATATCACCGTGGATGAGGGAGAATGGATGAGTTGGTTTGTATGGACGGGGTGAGTAAGTGCTTCGGGTGTGTTTAGATAACTGGCAAATATCACATTGAAGAAACTTGGGATTTTTATTGATGAATAATGATGGAAACAAGTGTTTCAAGTACATGAAATTTGGATGACCTAACCTATAGTGCCACATTAAGATTGCACTATCTTTATTTGTGTGACTCATGGACTCTAGACTATTGGCAGACCAACATTGTGGGCTGACATCTGTTTTATTGGCCTGGGAGCAAACTGAGGTGGTGGCTGAGTTGAGAAGGTACAAGCCTGCACATAGGTCAGCACTGCCAATCATCTTCCCCGAACTCAAGTCCTGAAAAACACAAGATTTAGCAAAAAACTTAGTCTCGCAGTTGAGTTCATTAGTCAATTTGCTCACAGAGATTAGGTTACAGTCTAAGTCAGGAACAAACAAAACTGAGTTGATGGTAAGAGTCTTTGAAAGCTTTATGGTTCCTGTTCCAGCCACTTGTGAACGTGTACCATTGGCTATTCGGACTGTTTGATAGTCCTGACATGGAATATAACTTGTAAATAGCATTCTATCACCTGTCATGTGATCGGAGGCTCCTGAGTCGACTATCCACGGTGACGGTGACTTGGCTACATGGAGTGCGAGATTCCTTGTGCCCTGTGATGACCCTTCTGCCGAGATTTGTGCCTGGTTGATCAGCTGTTGCAGTGTTTCCAGTTGGTCTTTAGTGAAGGGAACCTGGCTTTGAGACCTTGCGGATTCTGCTGTGGCAATATTTCCACGGCTGTCACGATCTCCAGAGTTACGACTTGGCTTCCAATCGGAGGGTTTTCCGTGTAGCTTCCAACATGTTTCTTTCGTGTGGCCTGGCTTCTTGCAGTGGTCACACCAAGGGCGTCCTCGACGAGAGTTCTGTGGTATCCCGCGAATAGCAAGAGCGGCTGGCTCTAACGAAGACTGATTCTCTCGGGTTGCCGCAAGGGCTGATCCATCAGGGATTGAATCGGATCGTCCCATCATAATTCGCTTGCGGCTTTCCTCCCGACGTACCTCAAAAAACACTTCACGAAGACTTGGAATAGGTTTGGTGCCTAAAATTCGTCCGCGTACTTCATCAAGAGATTTGTCCAGCCCCATTAGAAATTTGAAGATGCGTTTGATCTCTACTATTTTCTTGAAGTATTTGCTGTCATCCGAGCACTTCCACTCGTGAGTTTCGAATAAATCCAGCTGCTGCCAATACCGCGTCAAAGTGGTGAAGTAGGTGGTTACTGGTTGATCTCCTTGTCGTAGGTCCTGGAGGATACTCTCCACATGGAAAAGTTCAGCAGTATTTTCACTGCTAGAGAAGGTGTCACGGACTGCATCCCAGATTTCATTGGCAGTCGTGTAGAGAAGGAAATTCTCACCTATTTCCGTCGTCATTGAACTGATTAGCCAAGACATGACCATATTATTTTCTGCTCTCCATGTCCTAAATTTAGGATCACTGGTGCCTGGTTGGACAGCGGCACCGGTGATATAGTCATCACGGCTTCGTCCACTAATGAACATCATCATGGTCTGAGACCATTGAAGATAGTTGTGTCCATTAAGTTTGTGGCTGGTGATGGGAGTAAGATTATGGTCATTTGTGGTCTGGGGATTGGAAGAAACATTCTGAGAGACAGAGGATGAGGAGTCTCCGGAGGTTTGGTCGGATTCGGCCATGTTGAGGGTTGGCTAGAGATGACGGCTAGGAAATTAGGGTTTTGAGAACCTAGGGCTCTGATACCATGAAGTTTGGAATAATCTGAATTTCCTCTCTCATTAATTGAATGGACCGGAAGGGTATTTATACAAAAGCAAAAGATAAGATCTTATCCTAAGAGACCTCCTAGATATTAGGAACTACTTTACACATTTATAGGGATTAGCTTACAACAGATCCGTAGCTATTATCCCACGATTCTAGGAGCATATCACTTATCTAATACTCGGCTAGTTTGAATTTCAACAATAACTATTGCCAAAAGAGTCAAGAAAAGGTTGACTAAAAGAGAAGTTCTTTTTGAACCCTTGATTAGACTGTGAAGAAGCCAAATTGGCTTGAGCAGAATCAAGAGCCTTGTGATTTTTCTCAATTTGAGCCTCTTGAGAAAGAAGAAAAGACTCAATTTCTTCAATGATAAAATCATCATTTCGAGCTTCAACAGTGAGAATAAACGTATCATACTCAGAAGATAAGCCTTCAAAAATAACATCTAAATGTTCTTTTTGAGAGAAGGGATGACCAACAAGACGCAACAAACTCACACACTGACGAATATGTAGCAGATAGTCGTTCATAGTCAAAGAATCCTTCGTTATGTTCTTGAGCTGAGTTTTGTATTGAGAGATCTTGGTATGAATTTGAGCAGCATAAAGATTCAGAGTATGCCATACTTGAGAAGAAGTCTCACAATCTACAACTCGAGCAAGAATCGCTTCAATCATAGAAGAGAGAAACCAAGAGACCAATAGTTGATCTTGTTGTTCCCAATCTAAGAAATTTGGATTGATCCGTCCAACAGCTTTGTCTGTGGCAGTAAGGAACTTCAATGGCGGCGAGCTCGACTCCGAAATGACATCAAGAAGTTTGTGCCCTCGAATTGTGGAAAGAGCCAATTTACGCCATGGAATGAAGTTAGAATGATCAAGCCGAACCGAGATTGGATAGCTGAAAGAAACTGGAGCAAATTTAACAGAAGAACTTGAAGTTTCATTTATGGTGGTTTGGGTATCTCTCACCAGAATTAAGATGCTCTGATACCATATTAAGAAGAAGAAGAACGAATATAATCTGAAGAATTGTATATTGATTTCTGTATATTGTTGAATGTATAGTATTAGCTATAAATAGCTAGATTAACTTCTAACTAACCAAAACTATATCCACTAAGATGTTTACACGTGTACACAGCTCTAACAAACTCTAAACAGATTCTATAACAAGAAAGCTTACTAGTTAACTTCCCTAATAAATTGAATCACTTTCTTCTTCTACTTATACGTGGGAATTTATAACCATTTATAAGGAATGATTCTCTATAAGACTGTATGGAACGTATCCATTTTTCACTTCTGTTGAATTATGGAGCATTTTCTCATTGAAATTTGTTCAGTTGAAACTAGGTTCCATTTTGCCCCTCCCGATGATCAATTTTTTGTTGGGTGTTTTTCTATTACTCGTTTCAACTTTTTAATCAATTGATTTGGATTTTAGCAACCATCTAATACTTGTGTCTGGGAACAAATTAACAGCTGTGGCTGCTAGAGGAGGAATGGAGACACTAAGGCCTGCTTTGCAGCGCGTTTACGTGACAAGAGCTTCCGCTTATAGAGATGCTCTTAAAAGTTTCATAAATGGCTATCAAGAAGGCATTCAGCGGGTCATGGAGAAAAAGGATGATTCTAAATCTCAAAAGGAAAGCGATGAAACCAACAATTCTGCTTAAACTTTCTCACAAGAGGCAATATGTGTTAGTTACTTACCTTTTAGCGCAATGATTTTTCACTTGTGTTTCTTAGCTTTAGCAGTAGCCTTCTCATTGCAGTTGAGTGAAAGAGTTAGTACTCCAAAACAAAACTCAACAAATGTGAATTCTGTGGAAAATCTGTAATATGCATCTTTTGTTGAGACTAATAATCTCTTTTATTGTGAAATTTACCCGTTTTGTTTATGGATTTCAACATGGTTGGTTTTTGAGCTTGTTTTCCCTCATCTTGCTTTGTCAAGTTCAGGAATTCTCTTGCTGTTTGCTTCGACATGTATAACTTGGTTTGCCAGGAAGAGTTTCTTCTGAAACTATTATGATATCTGTATGAAGCACAACAGGGAATGCTAGTTCATATCAATTATGGTAAGTTGCATGCAATATTTCCATGCAATGGTTTCTTTCGTTTTTTCGGGGGGGGGGGGGGGGGGGGATGCAAACACTAGGTTCTGCAAAGAAACAAAATCTTCATTTATTTCCTAAGTCTTCTAGTTACAAAGGGCGAAAAAAAAGAAGCATAGTGTAGCTCTCGACTCTGGCTTGCTTTTCTTGTGTTCTTTATACATAAGTTTGTTATGAGATGTGGAGCCTAATCACGTTTGGAAGCAAGGAAAAGCAAGAAAAAAGAGGAAAAAATTGGTGTAGTGTCACGGCCCCGGTCAGTGAGTGTCGCGGTAATGCCGCGGCACCAGCGAGCCCATCATGTGCGATTCAAAGTAGCGCCACGGCACTGGTCGCGGGCAGGTGATCTCAAGGTCAGTTTTAGGTGATTTTTAAGGGCTTTTTTTGGGCTTTTCTTGTACTCTATAAATACCTAATGTTATGGGGACTTAGTATGACAAATTTTCTGAGAGAAACTTGGAGTGTGAGACTAGGAAACATCTTTTGAGTGTGAGATAAACACAAACTGAGATTGAGTGATTTCTCTATAAAGAATTTCTTCAACTAATTAGTGGAATCTGCGGCAGCAAAAACAGGACGTAGCTAAATTGGTGAACCTATATAAAATTCTTGGTGTGAATTTTGCTTTTATTTTCGTTTTTTATTTTTCGTTCTCTGTTATTTGCTTAGGTTTTAGGCAAATTTTCTCAACAACTGGTATTAGAGCTCGAATCTAATTGAGAGAGTGATGGCTGGGAACGAAGGGATGCTGCTTGGAGTTGTGAAATTTAAAGGCAACGATTTCTCATTCTAGAAGATGCAGATGGAGGATTATCTGTATAGCAAGGAGCTTCACTTGCCTCTTCTCGGTAAGAAACCAGAAGGAATGAAGGATGAGGAATGGCATATCATTGATAGACAGGTACTTGGGATAGTGCGGCTGACGTTGTCAAAAGATGTTGGTCACACGGTGAAGACGAAGAAGACTACCGCAGGATTGATGCAGGTATTGTCTGATATGTATGAGAAACCGTTTGTGAATAATAAAATTCATCTTTTGAAGAAGTTATTTAATTTAAAGATGACTAAGAATACCCCAATAGCGAAGCACATTAATGAATTTAGCATGATCGCCAATCAATTAGCGTCAATTGAGATCGATTTCGGTGATGAGGTCTGTGCCCTAATTCTTTTGGTTTCTTAGCCAAATAGTTGGGAACCCATGAGGGTTGCAGTTAGGAACCCTGTAGGGAATGGTAAGATGAAGTACAATGGCGTGAGGGATCAAATTGTGGCTAAAGAAGTTCGCAGGAAAGATTTGAGTGATACGTCAAAAGCTTCGGGTTCTGCCTTGAATGTTGAAAGGGGTAGGAGATCTGAAAGGAATTCCAACAGGAACAGCAAAAGGAAGCAAAGGGGAAGGAGCAAGTCTAGATCTGCGAAGAATTTAGAATGCTGGAACTGTGGCAAGATTGGCCACATGAAGGACTGTAGAGCACCGAAGAAGAATGACAATAAGGGTGACGCCGCCAATGCGGCTACGGATGATGAGCAGGATGCTTTATGCCTATCGGTTGATAGTTCGGTTGATTCGTGGGTGCTAGATTCGGGAGCTTCGTTTCACACTACAACACATCATGAGATCATGGAGAACTATGTTGCCAGGAATCATCGTAAGGTTTATCTTGCTGACGGTGAACCTTTAGAGATTGTGGGTATTGGTAACATCAACATGAGGATGTAAAACGGCTCGGTGCAGAAGATTCATAAGGTGAGACGTGCCAAAATTGATGAGGAATTTGATATCAGTAGGGCAGTTGGATGATGAGGGCCACAATGTGTCGTTTAATGGTGGTTCTTGGAAAGTCAATAACGGAGCCATGGTTGTTGCTCAGGGGAACAAGACTGGAACGTTGTATATTACTTGCTAGTAGTAGAGATCTGAAAGGAATTCCAACAGGAACGGCAAAAGGAAGCAAAGGGGAAGGAGCAAGTCTAGATCTGCGAAGAATTTAGAATGCTGGAACTGTGGCAAGATTGGCCACATGAAGGACTGTAGAGCACCGAAGAAGAATGACAATAAGGGTGACGCCGCCAATGCGGCTACGGATGATGAGCAGGATGCTTTATGCCTGTCGGTTGATAGTTCGGTTGATTCGTGGGTGCTAGATTCGGGAGCTTCGTTTCACACTACAACACATCATGAGATCATGGAGAACTATGTTGCCAGGAATCATGGTAAGGTTTATCTTGCTGACGGTGAACCTTTGGAGATTGTGGGTATTGGTAACATCAACATGAGGATGTAAAACGGCTCGGTGCAGAAGATTCATAAGGTGAGACGTGCCAAAATTGATGAGGAATTTGATATCAGTAGGGCAGTTGGATGATGAGGGCCACAATGTGTCGTTTAATGGTGGGTCTTGGAAAGTCAATAACGGAGCCATGGTTGTTGCTCAGGGGAACAAGACTGGAACGTTGTATATTACTTCTAGTAGTAGAGACACAGTTGCACTTGCTAGTTCCGCTGCAAGCTCCGATTTATGGCACTGTAGGCTCGGGCACATGAACAAGAAAGGGATGAAAATGCTTCATTCCAAAGTAAAGCTATCCGGGTTGAAGACGGCAAATCACAGTTTATGTGAGGGATGCATCTTCAGGCAACATAGGAGCTACAACAAGGCAGGGAGAGAACCTAAGGTTGCAAGGTTGGAGTTGGTTCATACAGGCTTGTGGAGTCCTTCAACAGTTACTTCACTTGGTGGTTCCAATTACTACGTGACTCTCATCGACGACTCAAGCAGAAAGGTGTGGGTCTACTTTCTGAAGAATAAATCTGACGTCTTTGATGCTTTTAAAAGGTGGAAAGCATTGGTGGAGAACGAGACGAGTTTGAAAGTGAAGTGCTTGAGGTCGGATAATGGTGGTGAGTATATGGATGATGACTTCAAGAGGTATTGTGTTGAGAATGGAATTAAGATGGTGAAGACTATTCCAAGAAAAACTTAGAATTACGATGGTGAAGACTATTCCAAGAAAACCTCAGCAGAATGGCGTTGCATAGAGGATGAACAAGACCTTGAACAAGCGTGCGAGTTTCCTAAGATGTTTTGGATGGAGGGTGTTAATACTGTAGCCTACTTGATCAACAGAGGTCCTTCCACACCGCTCAACTACAGAATACTTGAGGAAGTCTAGAGCGGCAAAGCGGTAAATCTTTCCTTTCTGAAAATATTTGGTTGCCTCTCTTATGTCCATAGTGATGCTTCTACTAGAAGCAAGCTTGATGCAAAATCTAAGCATTGCTTTTTTGTTGGCTATGGTGATGCCGAGTTTGGTTATCGTTTATGGGATGACCAAAATCAGAAGGTAATCAAGAGCAAGGACTTGATCTTCAATGAGGAAGTCCTACACAATGACAGGCTGAAAGTAGAGACAAGAGGCTCAGTTTCTGAGACCAAGAAAACTGAGATAGTCCCGCTTGGTGATATTTCTGTGAATGAGGAGGAGCATACAAGGATTGAAGATCAAGAGAACATAGCCCTAAAAGAAGTTAAAAGAACTCTCGCTACAACAGTCAGGAGATCTAGCAGCACTGTAAGAGCACCACAAAGGTATTCTACTGCATTGAACTATATTTTATTGACTGATAGAGGTGAGCCGAAAAGTTACAGTGAAGCCATGGAGGCTAAGGAATTGGTCTAGTGGGAGTTGGCCATGAAGGATGAAATGGACTCGTTAGTGTTCAATCAGACGTGGCAACTGGTTGAGTTACCAAAGGTTAAGAAGGCTTTGCAGAATAAGTGGGCGTATCGGATAAAAGATGAACTTGATGGCAGCAAGAGGTACAAGGCAAGCCTTGTGGTAAAAGGGTTTCAACAGAAAGAAGGCATCGACTACACGGAGATCTTTTCCCCAGTGGTGAAGTTAACCACAATTCGAACGGTTCTTGCATTGGTGGCACAGGAAGATTTGCTCTTGAAGCAGATGGATGTGAAGACAGTCTTTCTTCATGGTGACTTGGAGGAAAAAATCTACATGGTGCAACCGCAAGGGTTTGAAGTGAAGGGTAAGGAGAAGATGGTGTGCAAACTTCAAAAGAGCTTGTATGGTCTCAAGCAAGCTCCCAAGCAGTAGTATAAGAAGTTTGATAGTTTCATGAGTAGTAGTTGGTTCTTGAGATGCCAGGGAGATCATTGTTGTTATGTGAAGAATATTGGTAGCTTGTATATCATCCTATTGCTTTATGTTGATTATATGTTGATAGCCGGTGGGAGCAAACAGGAGATCGACAGGTTGAAAGGGAATTGTCGAAGCAGTTTGCGATGAAGGATTTGAGTGCTGCGAAGCAAATCCTTGAGATGAGAATAACGAGGGACACTGACGTCCTAAAGCTGTCACGGGAGGAATATGTGAAGGTGTTGAAGAGGTTCAACATGGAGGATGCAAAACCGGTGAGTACTCCTTTGGCTAGTCACTTTAAGTTGTCAAAGGAACAGTCACCGACTTCGGAGCAGGAGCGAGCCCATATGGCTAAGGTGCCTTATACTTATGCTATAGGCAGTCTCATGTACGCTATGGTATGCACTAGACCGGATATTGCACATGCAGTTGGAGTAGTGAGTAGGTATATGAGTAATCCAGGCAAGCAGCATTGGGAAGCAATGAAGTGGATTTTCAGGTATTTGAGAGGCACTGTAAGGTTAGCCTTAAGTTTCAGGAAGTCTGACTTGGGACTGGAAGGTTATGTGGATGCTGATATGGTTGGTGATGTTGATGGCAGAAAGAGTACTACTGGGTATGTTTATACGTTCGGTAGTACGGCAATCAGTTGGGTCTTGAAGCTTCAGAAGATAGTAGCTCTTTCCACTACTAAGCAGAGTATGTAGTAGTGATTGAAGCAAGCAAGGAGATGGTGTGGACCGTGGTTATAGTCTTTCTTGGAGGAGTTGGGTCACAAACAAGGGAGAGCGTGTTGCATTGTGACAGTCAGAACGCTATTCATTTTACGAAAAGCTTGTTTATCATTCTAGGACGAAGCATATACAGGTGAGGTATCACTTCATTAGATCGGCTTTGGAGGATGGAGTGTTGGTGCTAGAGAAGATTCTTGGGAGTCCAAATCCGGCAGATATGTTGACCAAGACAGTTCTAATCGAGAAATTGAAGTTGTGCGCAAACTTCAGTTGGACTTCACCTCAGAGAAGTGGATGCTGCCACAGTGAAGACATTGAAGATGGTTGATTAGTCTCCAAGTAGGAGATTGTTATTAGATGTGGAGCCTAATCACGTTTGGAAGTAAGGAAAAGCAAGAAAAAAGAGGAAAAAATCAATGTAGTGCGTGGCACCAGAAGGCTACATACATGGCGCCATGGCACCAATGCTTAATTCTATGGCACCAATGCTCAATGCTATGGCACTATTGAAATCGTCCCCGTAATGACCCGGCACCAAGAATGGGCACCACGGCACCAGCGAGCACATCATGTGCGATTCGAAGTAGCGCCGCGACACCGAGAAGGTAGCGCCGTGGCACTGGTCGCTGGCAGGTGATCTCAAGGTCGGTTTTAGGTGATTTCTAGGGGCTTTTTGGAGCTTTTCTTGTACTCTATAAATACCTAATGTTATGGGGACTTAGTATGACGAATTTTCTGAGAGAAACTTTGAGTGTGAGGAGGCTAGGAAACATCTTTTGAGTGTGAGAGAAACACAAAGTGAGATTGAGTGATTTCTCTATGAAGTTTTTCTTCAACTGATTAGTGGAATCTGCGATGGCAGAAACAGGACGTAGCCAAATTGGTGAACCTGTATAAAATTCTTAGTGTGAATTTTGCTTTTATTTTTGAAGTTTTTTGAATTGTGTGAAGAGATAACTTCTTATTTTCTTCACGTAATAGGTTTCACTTATATATACAAGTATTAAACCTAATTCCCTATAAATCAGGATCTATAGAATCTCCTCTAGTAAATACAAATATTCGGATATATGTACAAACACAAAATCAGGAAACTAACTTCCTAAACGTCAGGGATACAATTAAGCCTAGATTGATTTTCTACACTCCCCCTCAAGCTAGGCGATAGATGTTCTCTAACCCAAGAATTGAGTTCAGTTCGGTTAGGTTAGGTCGGAACAGGGCCTTGGTTAGGATATCAACTGCTTGTTGCCTTGATGGGACGTAGCTGAGTGTGATTGACTTGTTTTCAATTTTATCACTGATAAAATGCCTATCAATCTCCACATGTTTAGTACGATCGTGATGAACGGGGTTTTTGGCAATTGCAATAGCTGACTGGTTGTCGCATAGAATTCTGATAGGATCTGCAACTCCAATCTTGAGTTGATTTAGCACCCTTTTTAGCCAAATTCCTTCACAGATACCCAAAGCCAATGCTCGAAACTCCGCTTCTGCACTACTCCGGGCAACCACTGTTTGCTTTTTGCTGCGCCATGTCACTAAATTTCCCCAAATGAATGAGCAATATCCGGATGTAGATATTCTGTCACTAGGAGAGCCTGCCCGAGCAGCATCTGTATAGACCTCTAGTGTTCGGTTGATTGTTTTTCTGAACATAATACCCTTCCCAGGATCCTTCTTTAGGTACCTCAACTAGCTGACACGACTGACTGCAAAGTTTATATATGGACGGGTGTGAGTTAGGTAGATTAGCTTACCCACCAAGCGTTGGTATTGCCCTGTATCAGCCGCCAGTTCATCAGTCCGAGGCATTAGCTTGACATTGGGGTCCATAGGAGTCTCAATAGGCTTGCACCCACTCATTCTGGTCTCACGCAAGAGATCTAGAACGTACTTACGTTGAGAGACTGAGATTCCTTTGCTGCTCCGTGCCACCTCCATCCCCAAGAAATACTTCAAGTGTCCCAAGTCTTTGATCTCGAATTCCTTGGACAAGAGAGACTTGAGTCTTCTGACTTCTCCTTCATGATTTCCTGTAAGGACAATAGCATCAACATATACAATTATAACTGTAAGCCTCCCATCAGTGAAGTGTTTCACAAATAGGGTGTGGTATGCTTGTGTCTGAGTGTATCCATCTTTCTTAAGAACCTGAGTGAATCTGTCGAACCATGCTCTAGGTGACTGTTTAAGTCCATATAGTGCTTTCCTCAGTTTGCACACCTTCCCTTGTGTGTCCTTAGTCTCAAACCCAGTCGGTATGTCCATGTAGACTTCTTCGATCAAATCTCCATGGATTCTATCAAATCTCCATTCAAGAATGCATTCTTGACATCAAGCTGAAACAGTGGCCAATTCAAATTAGCGGCGATGGATAGCAAGACACGAACTGTGTTGAGCTTTGCTACAGGAGCAAAGGTCTCCTGATAATCGATCTCATACGATTGAGTGTACCCTTTAGCCACTAGATGAGCTTTGTACCTGTCTACACTTCCATCTGCCTTCTGCTTGACTGAGAATATCCACTTGCAGCCCATAGTTTTCTTTCCTGGTGGCAGCTCCGATATTACCCATGTGCCATTCTTTTCCAGCGCAGAGTATTCTTCTAGAATTGCCTTGTGCCATTTGGAAACCGTTAGAGCTTCATAGACTGAATTAGGAATCCTGATCTTGTCTAAGGAAGTCACAAACGCTTGGAATTTAGGCGACAAATTTGAGTATGAGATGTAACTCCGAAGAGGATGTTGAGTGCATGATCTAACACCCTTTCTGTGTGCAATAGGTTGATTCATCGTAAGGTCAAACTGCGGACTAGACTCCGCTGTATCTTGCTGTCCCTCAGGATTGGCTTGGCCTAAGGAAGTTTCTTGCCAGTGCTAGGATAGTGCAGGCACAAGATTTTTCCTTCTTTCATAAACTTTTACTGCATCATTGGGAAGAAGAAGATGTTTTGGATAGACATAGGGAGAAGGTTGATCATGGTCGGAATTAGGTGAGGATGGCTGATCACAAGAGGTTTGAGTTGGACTCGGGATAGGTGTATTGTAGGACAGAGTAGGGAACATCGAGAGTGATGAATTTGGAGAGAGTGATGAGTTTGGCTCGAGAAGTGATGTCCACTCCCAATGCTGCGATTCACTGATGCTATTCTCCCCCTGAATTGCAGTATTGGAGTAGTATGGAGTATTTTCGAAGAATGTGACATCCATAGTATTGTACATTTTACGAGTGATGGGAGAGTAACACTCATACCCTTTTTTGTTGGCTGAATAACCAAGGAAAATACACTTAAGTGCACGGGCATCAAATTTTCTCCGGTATTGAGAGTGAATATGGACAAAGGCGGTGCAGCCAAAAAGTTTAAACGGGACATTTGATACAAGTCGTGAGGCAGGAAACAGATTTTGTATTATTTGCAAAGGTGTACGAAATTTGAGAACCCTAGAAGGTAGACGGTTAATCAAATAGGTGGCAGTAAGAATTGCCTCACCCCAGAATCTTTTAGGAGCATGAGCTTGGAAAAGTAGAGATCGGGCCACCTCAAGAATATGACGGTGTTTTCGTTCGGCAACACCGTTTTGTTGCGGTGTGTCGACACAAGAGTTTTGTTGAACAATACCATGAGAGGTGAGGTAAGAGCCGAGACACGAATTGAAGAAATCCTTGGCATTATATGTTTTTATGATTTGGATGTTGGCTTTGAATTGGTTTTGAACCATGACATGGAAGGTTTGGAATATGTGTTTGGTTTCTGATTTCTCTTTCATTAGGAATGTCCAACACAATCTAGTGTGATCATCAACCAACAATAAAAACCATCTTCCACCGGTAAGTAGGGGTGTAAATCAGCCGGGTATGGTAGGGTTGAGCCGAAAAAATGAGCCTACCCGACTAGTGCGGGTTGAGAAATTTTTGAGCCGCGACTCGCTCTTAAATCTACAACCCCGCAACGTTTCGGGTGACCTCGGGTAGGGTAGGGTTACTCGGGTTGGTGAAAGCAGATAACTAATATAAAAACAACTAGAATATTTCAATTAGATTGGTACCCTTCTAACATGCAAAATAGTCCATATAAAATAAACAGTTTAATCCAGAATAAATAAACCATATAAAGATAAACAGTCCATATAAAAATAGTCGCAAAATAGGCCATGAAATAAAAGTTAGTCCACTTCAAACTGTTTAATCCAGAATAATAGCATCTTCATTCCCAACTTGCCCCTCATGTGTTGCAACAGAATTTGACAAATCTTGAAAAGAAAACATAACAAAAAAAATCATCAGAATCAAGTTTAGAACAACAAAATAAACAACAAGGAGATGAAATAAAATTAAAAAAAAAAATAAGTAAAACGTAAAAAGATTACCTGACTCAATATCTTCATATTCATTAAATTCTTCTAAGTCAATAAGGTTGATGTGCTCACGACTACGCAGCCAATTTTGTGTACAAATCAATGCCTCCACCATCTTGGGGCTCAATGAACTCCTAAAGGGATCGAGAATGTGGCCTCCGGTACTAAAAACAGATTCTGAGGCTACCGTTGAAACAGGAATGGCAAGAATGTCTCTTGCAACTAGTGAGAGAACCTTGTAATTAGTTGCATTATTATTCCACCATTCTAAAACATCAAAATTTGACCAAGTTGGATCCTCCATAGGGTCTGTCAAGTATCTGTCCACATTATTTTTGTACTCATTCACATTCTTCTCCTTCATTTTCCTAACAAAGGAGCTCCACAAACACTCTTTTCCTTCCGGAGTCGTTTTTGCCTCTGTTGTACTTGTTGTTGCCGCCTCCCCACTACTTGCATTAGCCATAGATTCACCTTTGTCCCCACTATAAACCTCATGCAGCCGGTACATAGTATCCTTCACATTCTTTGCTAATGTTTCAGAAATGGAAGAATCATACACTATAGAGAAACAATATGTCAAATAATTCATTTTGTACCTAGGATCAAGTACAACAGCCACAAAAAGAAGACAATTTATATTCTTAACACTCCCCCAATACTTGTCATACTTCTTTTTTATACTCACAGTCATGGATGAAAGCATTGAATCATCTTGTTTGCTTAATTCAGATAGTTGGTTTTGCATCTCACACAGCTCATGAAAGTAAGAACTTGAAGTGACATTCAAAGTGGCACTAAACTTCAAAGTTATATTATAAAAAGTCTTCAGAAATTTCACAAACACCTTAACATTCTTCCAATCATCATCAAGTGGCGGCCCAATCTTCCGCTTCCCATCTTCCCGAAAATAAGACACAAACTTGTCATCTTCCTCTTCATATCTTTCAAAAGCTTTTTGAAACTTAATAGTTACATCTAACATCATATAGGTGGAGTTCCATCTAGTAGGGACATCTAAGCATACAAGACCTTTGTATTCAATTTTCTCTCGCTCCACACATGACTTGAATTT